GCCACCTTTATGCTCCTCTCTATCCTTAGCCGTCTCTGTTGGTCGCGCGGCGCGAGCCTTTCATTTGTCCTTTTCTCTCTTTTTCTCTGCGCTCGACGTCCTTCTCGGGTTGGTACCCACGATCCTCGAGTATGTACGATACGCGCGGCTCCGCTTGTGCTTTGTGGACCGCGGACGCACAGGAAAGATATAAGGAAAAGAAAGGAATTTTTTTAATGATTCTTTGAACCGAGCCAATCATCTTTGTGCAACCGTTTTTCGGGTGACAATAAGGATTACGTTACCTGCAATGGCGAGAAATTATCGATAAGAATTTTCGCGAGGGAATAAATTGATTTTACCGACGGAAGGATAATAAATAGAACACGTTAAAAAGAGAAGGAAGAAATTTTAATAGATTAAAAAAAATAATTAATACCAAGAGAATAATAGAGAAAAATATATTAAAATAGAGGAAGATATAATAATGAAAGCAAAAGATCGAGTTCATAGAGAACTCGACAGAATCAAGTGAATTCCTCGACGATTCTGCACAATAGCGGCACTGTCGCGAATCGTGCTGTTTTAATAAGTCTCGCAACACGGTGTAACGTAAAGCAATTAACCCAAGAAGGACGGAGAGAGAGAAGGAGACGGGAAGAGTGCGACTCTCGATCTTGATGCAACCAGACGAAGGTTACGATTACGTGTATCAAGCTAGGGGGAACGTTTCTGTCTTTTAATTAACGGCAGACATGCGTATTCCAGAACACGCTTGCGCAACCAACCTCTTCTTCTTCACTATTTTTCTGACTAACTTTCGGTAACACGACGATTCCCCCATCATCTTTTTTATCTCTGTTGGATCGACCGACGCATGGTAATTAAGAAAGGAATCCAGGAATGAATTCTCCAGCGTAAAAAATCACGAAGGGAAGACGGGATGTATTTATTTATTTCAACCCGTCATCTTTTCGTCGTCTTTTCACGCATTGAGTGAAAGAAGCTCATCTATCCAAGCTAACTGTTATTAATGATACATTGTTGCTTTTGCGTCTACGCACCGCGACTCCCGGTAGTGGCTGTAATTAGCGCATTTCCGGCACGTCGATCCGTCCGTGCGTTCAGACTTTGAAGGATTTCCTCCTTTCCGTTACAGGGATACAGTGTTAAATACTTTCGAATAAAAATTATCTTCCACGTTACACGGGAGTATTTTTCATCAGATTTTGTTCATTAGAATACGAGGATTATCATCGAGTTGCACGAGGATTTCTTTCTTTTCTCTCTTCTTTTTTTTTTTTTTTTTTTTTTTTTTTTTTGCTGAATGAAAACCCATTCTCACGCACTGGCGCAACGAAAATAAATCCGACACTCCAAATAGCGATTACACGTTACGACGCCGCCTATTCCTTTTCCCTGACGTCGCCCGCCGCTGGTATAAGAAGACAGACTACCGTGCCGATTCAAAGGTTGTTTCCACACGCAGGATTCCGGCCAGCCTTCTCTCTTCCAAGAATCATCAATTCTTTTTTTTTTTTCTTTTTTTTTTTTCCTCCTCATCGTCGAGAAGAGTTTCTGTCTTCGAACCGGCAGCCTTTTGCTTGCCCGATATAGCTTGTAATATCGGCCGATACTACGGTAGTGAAGAGTCGGGGGAGAGAATCGAGACAGAGGGCAGCAGGTTAAACGATACAGTAGAAAAATTTCGACGAGAAAAAATCAGCGAGAGAAGAAGGGAAAAGATAAATAAATAACGCGCTGTTGAAGAAGAAGAAGGAAAAAATGAAAAACAATGGAGAAACGCGGCTCTAAAACACAACGAGGGAAAAGAACGAGCAGGACGGATTTTTGAAGTGAGACAGGGGAACTGGCGCAGAGGTGGCGCGAGGGGCGCCATATGGGTTAGTAAATTTAACTCTGCCCGCGAGAGAGCTTCGAAGACAACAAGGACGGGGAATAGAAGGAACGAGAGAGAGAGAGAGAGAGAGAGAGAGAGCCAGAGAGAGATTACGAGGGAAGTGTAGAAGCACAAAAGGCCTAGCCATCTGCCAGTGGCCCTGCAGTGCGTCTCATAGGCAGAAGTACTATACGCGAACAGCAACGAGAAGAACTGACGTACACCAGAGATGGTGGGCAAACATTGGCGTAGATATGGTACTCGATGGCACGCGTTAACGAGCGGACGTATACGAGCCATCTTGAGAATGTGTCGCTTTATATAACGAGGATATTTGAACTTGATGGTATTCCAGTTTCTCTGTGACACTATTGTTGAATATATCGAATATTAAATATTAAAACTGATACTAACTATCTCTAATTTTTTTTTATTTTAAACATTCTAACCTCTACATTACACGACACGACTTCTATTAATAGAATGAAATGTTCATCTATATAAAAATTGATCTATAACACTTCTAAATTATTTGGAAAAATTATACTGTTCCCGCCAATGTCAAGAATTATCGAAACAACAACAAGCAAGTAATAACAGTAACAGCAGGAGGGAGAGACAAGTGCCATCGTTCGTCTTGCTTACTCCGCCGGTTCTCGCACCATCTGCCATTAGTTTGGTCATCCTTGTCGCACTGTTGCGCGCGGCTGTGCGTGCACGCGCGCAATCGTGCCCACGAAACGTTCGTTTTTAATGCGATCGACCTGCCTTTCTTTCGTCGCGACCGCGAGAAAGTAGGAAGAAGACGAAGGGGGGCTCTGTAATTTTTCCCTTCCTCGCGAATTCTTCTTTTTCTTCTCCTTCGTTTCTTCTTTTTTATTTTTTTTTTTTTTTTTCGCCACGAGGTTAATTACTCGAGGCGATCGGTTATACGTGCGATGGGCAGGTGCGATGTATTCGTGAGATTTTACGCAATTTTATTTCGTGTTCAACAATGGAAAGTGGTCTGCTTTCAAAAATACAAGTAAAGCGAAGCGACAGCTAATCAGCCAATTTGCTTTTCAATTTTTCCTTATCGATCCTAACGGAAACGGGAGAAAATATCACGCTACACTAAAGAAACCTTTTACAACCCTTTCAAATGGTTGTATTGTTGGGTGTCGTACCAGCAGAAAGCGAACAAAGATAAGAAGCTAACAGTTCTCTGCAACGTAATTCAAACAGTTGCATTACTTTTTTTTTGTTATACAAAGTGATACAAAAAAATAAATAAAAATGAAACGAAAGATCAATTTTGATAATTTTTCTTTTGAAAAATTAAAATCTAGAAATATCGTTTTCAAACAACTTTGTAAAATATGAAAATATCAGTTGACCCGACTATAATTTAGCTCGCGCCAGAATTAATTTACCGGGAATGTGGAAAGATAAGGGGCAAAGATTGAATCTGATACAACGAGCAATTTTTACTCCCCGGTGAGCTCGCACATGTCTCCCTCATGGTTAAGTCAACGAAAGGGTCTTAATCTTCCACGCGCGTTCATTATTCAAGACAAGGATCAAAGTTGGGAACCGCGTTCGTCAACCGGTGTCATTTCCTCTCGACAGAGATCTAAGAAGAGACATTATGTATACATGTACAATAGAAAATCGGCTAACTGTATCTACAACACGCTCTGATCACCAACAAAACGCTCTACAATGATCTCCTTCCTTTTCTAACTAGCATGATACAGTCTGGCGAAAAAATGACGAACCACGATCGTCGAGGAAGATTATTGTTAGAAATGAAGTCTTTGTAGCAAGCGGAAAACGTTTATCTAATAAACGTTTCGCAAATGCGCGTGAGAAAAACACGATTGCATACGATGGTATTCATAATAGATCGATTTTTTTCCACGATTTATTACGTGTCGTTTTCAGTTCCGTTTATGTTACGAATGATTTTTCGCGTTCTGCGCACGCGATATGTTAATGTTTGTAGTAGCAAAAGTATGGAAAAGCAGAAGCATAAAATATCGACGATGTTTTATTTATCTGTATTATCGCATAATTCTGTCAGACATGAAGATAATATTTTTAATAGAAACAGTTGGAAATTGTTTAACGATGTTTCATACTTGAAATTATTAAAATGTATTTCAATCAAGAACCTAACCTCAATTTTAACCTCATCGACATAAGAAATTTATGATTATTGCAGAATTGAAATATCGATATACATAAATATATTATTTTCGTTGAAATAATTATTATTCTAGAAAAATAACGCATAAAATATATCTAAAGACACTTACCGGCCACGTGAAGTCGAATGGAAATCTGATGGGATTAGTGAAGCCTGGAATGGCGACATTGGGGCTGAGATTAACGATGTTCTCGCCCAGAACGGGTGTGACGACGTCGCCGTATGTGCACGGCGTCGTCGTGTCGATCTTCACTTGATATTGTTTCAAGCAGACCCTGAACCTGGTCTTACAAACGCCTGAGCACTCACCAGTCTTGGAAGTGCTGCCTGAACAGCACTTGCCAAGACTGTCTTTTCCATACTCGTTCACGAATGACTTCAGCCTCAACTCGAACACCCCAGAAGCATTTACCTGAAAATAAATCGAATTTCATTCAACAAAAATTCTGTCAAATTAATAATCATCGATATTTCTAACCTTATCAATTTCTATTATGTATCAATTATAACATAACCAATAACGAATCTTGAAGGCATAATCACAACGCATCGTTCAAACACCGCACCAGCGCCACTTGGTGAAAAAGATTGAAAACGCAAAACACATTTGATTCCGCCATTGACGCAACTTTTTATACCCTACTTTAACTTGATTCTGCGAACTGTTACTGACGACAGAAGAAGATACGAGAAAACCGTCGAATTCTTCGAGCGAATGTGTAACGCGCGACAAACAAACTTGGCTAACACACTCCACGTCGGGGGGTCGTCTCGTGCCCAACGACCGAACACGCCGCCGGGGCAGCACGTGTGTAAGCGCGTTTTTGCGCACGCGTGTATCTTCTGTGCTGCACATCTCCCAGGAGGAGCAGAGATATCTGCGCGAGTAACCCGACAAAAAGTACTTTTTTTCGTTCGGAAAGACGTGAGCGAGAAAGCTCTTCTCAAGAAAAAAAGAAAGGAAAGAGTGCTAAAGGCGCAGATGAACATTTCGCGACGCGTGCTGTCGAGCCTCGATGATTATGGAACACGAGGGGCGTTTTCATGAGAAGGAGAAAAAAAGAAGGTGACTGGAATCAGTCGTAAATGTATTAGCATATGCTACTGATCGTTTCTCATCGTATCAATATATTAACGAAAAATTAATTACGATTCTCGATGTGTCGAAGAAATTGCGCAACTAGAGACATCTAGAGGATTTTTTGTATTTCATCTTAATAGAAACCTCAAATCGATCGAATGGAATCGAACTAGTGATTACTTTGTAACAAAATGTTTACTATCCTACAATGTCACTCTGCGAAGACTTTTAGTAACAGGCGTAAACACATATAAAGGTTAAGATTCGTGAATCAAAGAGCATTTTGGGAGGAATGATTTTCCTTTTGGCGACAGTATCCAGTGTAAATAGAGTCGATATGTCAATATTTCTCCGGTTCTACTCTGCTCTTTGTCGTCGTTCGGACGGCGAGAGTTCTTGACCACTGTGGACAATGCCCTAAGGCTATATACACACACACACATACACACAACATTCACAGGTGCGCAAGTGCACATACAAAGGTAGTGTATAGGCCAGCAGACAGTCGAGAGAGCCTTCCCACGAGACATTGTATAGTCGAGCAAAACTATACATATATCGTGTCTCACGTGAACGAGAGGAGCGCACTAACCTTACTATCGAGCCTGCGGATCGTTTTACGATCTCGCCATGGCCCTCTTGCACGTCCATTATACCCCCGTTGCGATCTTCGAATTTCGTACCCTGAGACACCGACATTCTTTCTCCTTTTTTTCAGCAGGTGAAAAAATAAACATAAAAAAGTGCTTTCTTTATCGCGTTTATGTTAAAATGGTCGTTTCACACGTTTTTTTGCATACAGAGAAAAAGCACAGGAGACGTTTTACGAGTCTTACAATCGGAACAAGAAAAAATATACATGGCTTCGATCGAACGAAAGAAATATTTCCTCGCGAACGTTTTTCATTACACGTCGTAAAACACAGCAGGTTAGAGGTAACGCGTACACATAAGCGACTCGCCACGATTCTCGATGAGGAATTCTCATTTTTGGCGCGCTGGAGTGCTATTCTCGGAACGAGAATGGCCGCCGCCGACTATTTACGGATACAACCAACGTTATTTCGTCACAAAACAATTTTCTACAGGCACCCCTTGAACACTATGATTCCATATCACATTCTGGTTATATATCTCGATACATTTCGATTCATCGATAAGAGGAACGATAAAAGATTTAATATCAAAATTGCACTGCTTAAAAGTCGGAAAGATGAAAAGAGAAAAGAGCGATTCGATATGACGTACAAGAGATGATGAGAAGCTAGACATTTCTAAAAGAGTGAATCCAGATTTAGAGTTGTATGTCGGCGAATAACTGTTACCACTGGTTTTCTCCTCTTTCGTCGGATGGTTCGAGACATGGCCGACAGAGGAAGAAAAAGATGGACGACGAAGCGAAGGAGGGACAAGGAGCAGAGCAAAGAAGCAAGGACTTCGCGAGAAAGAGAGAAAAGCAGAGAATGAAAAAAACATCTCTCCCAGGAAGAATACACTTGGAACCCGTGGTGACTAGCGCGTGAAAAAGAAACGAAACTATTATACACGCAAACACGAAACTTACGAACTTTGTTACGTTGATTTTTATGAAACTAAATTTTTTCCCAACGAATATAGAAAAGGAAAACGAGACAGGGAGAAAAACAGATTGAAGGTGAGTTAAAATTGGAAAGCATTCTGCAGCTCGATCGAACCGTACACACATTTACAGATATAGCGTTCGACTGGATAAATATAAGCCGCGATCGCACTTACGCAAGTACTTAATTAGACGCGGGAGAACGTATCGGTAGTGTGCGCGCGCACACACCAGAACGAGACTGTAAATATATAGAGACGAGCTTCTATTCTGAACGCACCCATCGATGGCGTGTCATCGTTTTTACCATAAATACCAACAGAGCTTACGACCGGTTTGACAGACGGGGAACGTCTCTTGGATTCCGAATCAAAACATCGCGCCATTCATCGACAACGACGAAGGTCGCTTACGATGTTTCAGTTGACAAACGTATAGGTTATCTTTCTCTTTATTTCGTTTGACAACATGCGACACGGATTAAGTACGTTGACAAAATAATCCGTTCATTCGTATATTCATACACCTTATTCCATTGTTAGAAGTACTGCAAGTTTTCAAAATTTCCGTGATCCCGTTCGATTCTATTATAATACGTGTTATCGATCGATCGTAGTTAATCTTTTTTGCTAGTTTGGAAAGATGGCGCGTTGCAATTACGCTTTAAGCAGTATTCCCATGAAACCGAGCGGAGCGATGATTGACGGAACACGAGACGATTGCGGGTAAAAAAATTAATAGAATAATAATTCGATGTGTCATGTATCCGGATTATTTTTATTCGATCGAAATTCTATTTTATTTGAAACAGAATTACAGATTCGAAAAAAAGATGAAACAATGATGAGACTAAGGCACGAGATATTTCGGAAGAAGCGATTGTAAAACATCTTGACGTCCGTTTAAAAAGATGTTTTGCAACGCGTTATACAGCGACCATTCCTCTAAAAATAAACAGAAATATTTCCAAGAAATCCTCAAGTATCTTTTTCGAGCAGACGTAAAAAAAAAAAAAAGAAAAAAAGAAAAAAGAAGAAAAAGAAAAAGAAGAAAAGGCGGCATTTAAATTTTTGACAAATTTCACACTTCGCGCCTAAATAAACTTCTTTTCGAAGAATTTCTACCTTTTCGAATTTCGAAATGAACAATCAATATAGAATCGAAATAAATTGTAAAAGAGAACGAAATTTTTAGATTAAATAAAAAATCAAACATACCGCTCGGGGTGCTGGCAGAAGCACGACGGCGGCCGTCCACACGAGCATCGTGGTCCACATGTTTGGTGGTTGTTTCGTTCGATGTTTACACGCCGCCGATGCGTCGTCGGCGGAAGTGTGTGGACCGTGGTGCTCTGGTGTGCTCGTCGGCGTTACCTCCTCGCCGTAATTTCGCGAGGCTGCATAGCCACCGTACCGTAGAAGGTACGAGCTACTGTATCCCTTCAACACACACTGTTTTCCTTCTTTCGTTGGTCGATTTCGTCAAGGTGTCGATATACGTAATCCTTGTTTCAATATGTATTTGAAGAAAACTTTGGCCGGCTTATACTTCACGCAAAATGAAAAAAAAAAAAATAAAGTCGAAACGAAGCTAACTCACGGATAATTCGCGCGGTCACTTCTGCTGGTCTGTAGCACACTGTATAATACACTTAGAAAAAAATGATGCTGATATATATATTTATTTATATTTATGTATATCCGGTGGCAAAGAGGTAATCACGATAGCCGCGAGAATATTAGAAAATCACGCGCGATCACTGAACACTGTGACACACTTTATTCCATTATCCGTGGGACGCCGAGAGTCGTAGAACAGCTTCGTTCGAACAGGGTATGGGATAAATATTTTTGCGCGTAGGATCTATGAAAAACACACTAATGGTTTGCGATCCTTTGGGCGACGCCTCTCTCTTTCTATTCGTTGGATGATGATTTGAATATCTCTCCGGGTTCTTTTTCTGTCTCTATGTGTGTATATATATGTATAATATAGTAGACAGATCGTGTACTCGATAATCTTTTTTTTTTATTTTCGTCAGCTCTTTGATCGATATTAAAAATCTCACAACTACGCTCGTGTTGAGCGTTCATTCGCGGTACACGAGCCACTACGTCGACGAGGAGCACGACAATCCGCCACGAGCATAATTTTCCACGGAAAGGCACGTATACAACACTCTCCTCCTCGCCAACCGTCGCAACAACGACGAGTCGCGCACTGACTGGCCGTCGACGAACCGTGAGGAATATTCCCTCGGAGACCGCCGGCAAGAGTAGCACGAGAGGAGAAGTGATGCTAGTGGTGGT